GCAGATATTGGAGAGCCTGCCCACATTTTAACCCAGCAGGTAAACTCTCATTCAGTCACCCCTTCTGATCCAGAAATCAAGTTTAATTTTGGAGATTTTTAAAAATCTTCTGAGTGGAGAGAGCGCATCACTTCCAAACTGAGTGATATGTCAGAGGTGTTCTCACAGCATGAATTAGACTTTGGTTGTACCGACAAGGTCCGACACCAGATCAAGTTGAGTGATGAGACTCCTTTCAAACATCGTCCTCGACCAATCCATCCACAGGACATCGAAGCCGTCCGTAAGCATCTCCGTGATCTTCTTGAATACGGGGTAATCGGAGAATCCCAGTCACCTTTTGCTTCTCCGATTGTCGTTGTCCGGAAGAAGAATGGGGATTTTCGTCTGTGCATAGATTATCGGAAACTTAATCTACAGACTGTGAAAGATGCATATGCAATTCCCAACCTGGAGGAATCTTTCTCAGCTTTGACGGGATCCAAGTGGTTCAGCGTTCTGGATCTGAAATCCGGATATTATCAGATCGCCATGCAAGAAGAGGACAAATCCAAAACCGTGTTTGTCACTCCCTTAGGCTTTTGGGAATTCAATAGAATGCCGCAGGGTGTTACAAATGCACCAGGAACTTTTCAGCGGTTGATGGAAAAATGTATGGGCGATTTGCATCTGAAGGAAGCTCTTGTCTTTCTGGATGACATAATCATCTTTTCTGACACTTTGGAAGAGCATGAGCGGAGGTTGTTGCGAGTCCTTGGTCGACTGAGGAGCTATGGCCTGAAGCTTTCACCAGAGAAATGCCGTTTCTGCCAGACGTCTGTCAAGTACCTTGGTCACGTGGTTTCTGAGCGAGGGGTGGAGACCGATCCAGCGAAGATTGAAGCCCTTAAAACCTGGCCAGTTCCGACAAATCTTAAAGAGCTGAGGTCCTTCCTGGGGTTCTCCGGATACTATCGTTGGTTAATAAAAGACTATTCCACACTCACCAAGCCACTTAACGATCTTACCAAAGGCTACCCACCAGTACGGCGGTCGACCAGGGTGAAGAAGGCCCAACCTCAATATCTCGACACGAAGCAATCATTCGGTGCTCGATGGACACTTGAGTGTGAAAAGGCATTCGAGTTGCTGATTGACAAATTGACAACATCCCCTGTTCTTGGATTTGCAAATCCAAAGCAGCCATACATTTTGCATACAGACGCCAGCACAACAGGGCTCGGCGCAGCGCTGTACCAAGAACAGGAGGGTCAATTGCGTGTCATTGCTTATGCCAGCCGAGGGTTGTCTATCAGTGAGTCCCGATACCCAGCCCATAAGCTTGAGTTCTTGGGACTAAAGTGGAGCGTGACCGACAAGTTTCACGACTACTTGTACGGAGCGAACTTTACAGTGGTAACCGACAGTAACCCACTGACGTACATACTCACCTCCGCAAAGTTAGATGCCACGAGCCACAGGTGGCTTGCAGCTCTTTCAACTTATTCCTTCAAGCTCCAATATCGTGCCGGTCGCCAGAACTTTGACGCTGATGCTTTATCCAGACGTCCTCATCAATCCAGTCCTGAAGATTGTCTCTCCTTCAAAGAGCAAAATCTCATTCAGCAGTTTTTGAGGGACCGTATTTGTGATCCTGGTGAGGAAGAGGAGCTTTCTCCCGACATTGTAAGTGCCATATGCACAAGTTCACTGGAAAATGGATCTTCCGTTACTCTTGCCAAATCTCTTTCCATGCATGTCAAGGGTATTCCTGACAACTACTTCTCTGATGAACAACACGGACTCCCCGATCTTCCAGCACTCTCTCCATCCGAACTGAGAGCCCAGCAACTTGCAGATCCTGCTATCTATGAAGTTGTACATCAGCTGGAGACGGGTGATAAAGTGGTCCCTGCGATCAGGCAAGAACTCCCTGAACTCCCTTTGCTATTGAGAGAGTTGAACAAACTGGAGTTGAGAGATGGAATCCTCTATAGGAAGCGGCATGAGGACGCAAACTCTACTTTTCAGCTTGTTCTACCACCTGAGTTGCGGCCAGTGGTCCTCACAAGCCTTCACAACAACATGGGCCATATGGGGATCGAGAGAACGCTTGACTTGGTGCGTCAGCGGTTCTTCTGGCCAAGAATGTTTTCTGATGTGGAGAAGAAGATCCATACTTGTGGTCGGTGTGTGAGACGGAAGGCCATGCCCGAACGTGCTGCTCCGTTGGTCAACATCACCACAACTCGACCTCTAGAGCTTTTGTGTATGGATTTCTTGTCTCTTGAGCCTGACAGCAGTAACACAAAAGACATTCTGGTGCTAACAGACCATTTTACAAAATTCTCTGTTGCGCTCCCCACGCCAAATCAGAAGGCAAAGACCGTTGCCAGATGTTTGCTCAATGATTTCATTGTCAATTTTGGTATCCCCGAGCGACTCCATACAGACCAGGGGCCTGACTTTGAATCCAAGTTGATCCAAGAGCTCTGTTTAGCAACTGGAATGAGAAAAACTCATACCACCCCTTATCATCCCAGAGGTAACCCGGTGGAACGGTTCAACCGGACTTTGTTGAGCATGTTGGGTACCCTGGAGCGCAAACAGAAAAGTAAATGGCGTGAATACGTAAAACCGCTTGTACATGCGTACAATTGTACACGCAACGAGGTTACTGGCTTCACACCATATGAACTTCTTTTTGGAAGGACTCCTCGTCTGCCAGTTGATCTAGCATTTGGCTTGCCAGTTCGAGAGACGCCAACTCCAACACACACTCAGTATGTCAAAGATCTGCGATCCCGTCTGGAAGAATGTTATCAAGTTGCTTCCAAAAATGCACTTAAGTCTGCCGAAAGGAACAAGACGCGGTTTGATCAACGAGTGACGCCATGCAAGTTGGAGGTTGGAGACAGAGTCCTTGTCCGAAATGTAAGGTTACGAGGAAAACATAAGCTTGAAGACAAATGGGAAGCCAAATGGGAAGCCTGTTTATACAGTTAGGCCAGAAGCTCGTGAAGGTCCAACTCGCACGCTACATCGTGACTTGCTTCTTCCGTGTGGTTTTCTGCCAGCCAGTTCTGCAACACAGAGATCCAAACCTTCTCCTCCTCGTAGACCACAAACTCGGTGTCAACCTACACCTGAACCTGATACAACTTACCTGTCTGGGGAAGAAGATGTTCCTTGGGTTGTTCAGCCTCGTTCATTCCAACTACCTGTTGAGATCCATGCCTCCAGTCACGATGATGAACTACCTGCTGACACGCATCCTGTTGTGACCCTAACAGAGATTCAATCTGAAACAGACGCCGTGATTATACCGGACTCGGGTACTGCTGCTGCTGCTGCAGTGGATAGCACACCAGTTTCACCTTCTACTCTCCATTCTGAATCTGATGTTGATGAGGTCCCTGCTGGGGAAGAAGAGAATGGGCTTGAAGATGATGTTTCCGGAGGAAATGAAATACAGGACACTGTTCCTATGGAGGATCTACCCCCCCAAGTGGAACTTGTGCTGGAGTCCATTCCATCTGAGCCTTCTGTCCCAAGTGCCCCGACAAGTCCGGAAGTCACTGAAATGTCCAACAATGTACCTAGACGTTCTAGTCGTGATAGACGCCCACCAAATCGTCTTCAGTACTCCCTTTTAGGAAATCCTGTCATTTCAGTTGTTCAGAGTCTATTTCATAGCCTTTCTGATATTTACACTGAGACTTTAGAGAGAGCATCTAGAGCAGATATTCTCTAGCTCAGGAAATAGATTAACACAAACTTCGTATGCGACGAGACGCGCATGATCTTAAGCGGGGGAGGGTGTAACCCATATTAAAATTCTGGTTGCCTCCCACTGTATTATTTTCATTTCTACCGCTCCTCGTTACTATAGTAACGCTAGTCTCGCGATACTCCGCGGGGCAGTCTCAAACGCAACTTCCAGTAGTCATAATCAGAGTAACTGCGGCTCCACCGGTAACTGGGTGGGATGCCAGACTGAGTTGGCTGCAGGTAGATGCGTATGATCATGTCTCGTTTGTCATTCATGTACTCATACCTTGTGTTCCTCAATCAGATGCCTCTGTCCTTACTGAGCACATTGTGTGTTTGTGTGCTCTGTATTCTGCAAGGAACCGGTGAGTCATGTTAACCGGCAGCTAGCCGATGCTAATGTTTTTATACTCACTGTGATAAACTGTGTGCTCAGATTGCCTTTGATAGAGTTTTTAAGTTAGCGACCTTAAAGTATATATTGTGTCCGATCAGTCACACAAATATAACACAGATAGCTGCAGTATTACGTGTTTAATCATGTATGTTAATGGCGCTAGCAACAGCGGCGGCGCTAGAAGCAGTAGCGGTGCTAGCGGCGGCCATCTTGTGTATGTCATCCATGGGATTGTATTGATAATATGTGTATTCACTGTAGTCTGTTGCATATTAAGAAATTATGATGTTTATTTAATGACAATTTGTTTACATTATGAAATGGTACCACTGATATTTTAGAGTTGAACTATTGCAATTATTACCAGGACAATGGACTAAAACACTGGTTTGCTTCACACAGGCCAGGTCCTCAATACTTTCTGGGCTTCAGGAGAGTACATCTTTATTTGATTCTGCGAATGTGGTAGGGGGCTCTGCAGCCACATAACTCACCCACTCACTTCCAACGCTTTTGGGGACAATATTCATACTCTGGACTAATTATTCAAACGAACTATCTCTGCTGCTTTAACACATGGACAATAACCCATCGCGTTGTGGATTACACTCTTGAGTTAGAGTTCTGGACTGTGGACCATACCTTATTCCGATCAACTACCAACAGTGCACTTTGTACATATTGTATATATTTCTGTATATTGTCTCACATGTACATATCATTCATCACAATACAAAACCCATAATCGTACCCCTCGTATATGTCTTTTATTAAGCATTGTCTCACTTTCCTCCGAGCCGAATCAGTTCTTCTTAGTTTATATTAATTGTTCTTCTCTAATCACGTGACGTACATGTTTTGTGATACGACCCCCCAAGCCACCAGCCCCTCTTGTTGCCTCTGTGCCTATCCCAGTCACCCTCTACCTGTGGTCACTCCCAGTTCATGGAGCTTTAACTATGGCCACGGCACGTCTCCTCCACCTGCGCACCTCTGCTGGCCCTCCACAAAGAGAGAGTTTCACCAGAGCAGACCCTCTTGGCGCACCAGCCCACCTCATGGCTGCCCTGGGTTCGTGAATCAATAAAACCACCCCTCTGCACGACCATCAAGCAGCACTTCTTGCTCAAACGGCTAATACTAGTGTTCAGGCAGCAGAGCCCTCCAGGTTCACCGCTTCCTGGCTCCCATCGTTTTCTCCCCGTCACAGTCTCAGGCAGCTACCTCCTCAGTCCCGGCACTTTGCTGCAGCAGGCCCCCATCAATGAACGGATCAACCCAACCAAAGCTGCCCCTCGAAATGACGTCCCGACATCTGGACAGTAAATGAGCGTCCTGGGCGGGGGTAGGAAAATGTCGTTTTTTAGAACTTTTTGAGCACTATGAGATAAAATACAGGCTCATAATCAAAACAAATGTGTTTTATGTTACTGGCAGGTAACCAGCGAGGTCCCCACAAACTTGAGAAGAACAGGTAAATACAATGTCTATACCAGTGATGCTTGGGCTGGGGCAATACTAGCCTGGAATCCAGTCTGATATTCCGCTCTCCAAGCTCCAATAGTCCCGCCAGGGCTTTCAAAGTGATCAGACTGGGTCCCGGCTAAGTTTTGCCCGCCGCACCAAGCACTCACTGGTAAACATTTGTATTTACCTGTTCTGCTCAAGTTTGTTGTGGACCACTCATGGTACCTGTCCTGTAACATAAAACACATTTGTTTTTGAATATGACCATGTATTTAGTCTAATAGAGCTCCCAAAGTCTAAAAAAGACATTTTCCTACCCGCCAGGACCGCCTTTTTTACGTCCAAAGATGTGGGGAGTCATCGGAGGGGGCAAGCTTTGGTGGGTGATCCGTTCTTGCGATGGGGGCCAGCGTGCAGCAAAGTGCCGGCTGAGGAGGTAGTTGCCTGAGATCTGTGAGGGAGAAACGATGGAGGGAGCCAGTGGAAGCGGTGATCCTGAGAAGGAGGCGTCTGCTGCTGAACACTAGTAGTTAGCCTTTGAGCAAAGAAGTGCTGTTGATGTCGGGCAGAAGGGTGTATGAACAGAACCCAGGGCAAGAGGTGGTCTGGTGGGCCACGAGGGTCGCCCTGGTGAACTCCTCCCCCCCCCCCTTTTCTTTGTCTGGAGGGCAGAGGTGCGGCTGGTTGAGGCGAGTGCGTGGCGCCATAGGTGAAAGCACCCTGATGGGAGTGACCACAGTAGAGGGTGGATCTGCTAGGCCACAGAGAGCAACAGAGGCAGGTGGCTTTGGGGTGTCGTATCAAAGTTGGACGGTCACTCCTGGGATTTTGTTCTAATTACTATAGGCTTGTAACCTTTCTCCAGGTCTTGGCCTCTGTATAGCTTTTACTATAAATTCATCTTCTTACAAAAGAAACACATTAACCATTTGTTACAGTTTTTTTCCCAGTGTATACTGTGTGGTAATTGGTAAAATCAACTTCAGGGAACTCTGCCACCAATGTGCCTGCACAGGATTTATTGTTATTTGTTATAAATCTAAATCAAACTACTGTAATGTGAAAGAATAAAATAAAAGATGTGTCCGCTCCCTTTTCTTCTTCAATCAACTTAAACAGTTATTGAAACTACCGGTAGTCAGTTAGACTGTACCCTTTATTTGTGAGTTTGGAGTTCAAACAATTTCCCAAAAAAAATGACAGAGGGATTTTACATGGAGTTCAGCTTAGAGCTTTTGCTTTTGTTACAGGTCCCGTATAATATCAGAATTCCAGAAACATTAGCAAGATCATTCTACAGTCAAATAGATCAAATCCCAGACACCACTAAAATAACTTCATATGTACCAAACGTTGGCTTTTGATCTTCGCGAATGCAGACTGTTTCCACTTAGAATTAAGAAGTAAATGAGTCACCAGAGTCCAAACTTCAGCTCCTAGTGCCATGTTGATTCTGTTATCTCAATGTTGTTTTCCAGACCATTTGAAACAATAAGGACGCGGTGTAAGAGGAAAAGGGGGTTGTGTAGTGGCATACAAGATTGCAGGTTCAAGCAAAGTGGATAACTCCGTTGCTTTCTGGTCTACTAATGGTTAGGGTCTCTCAACATTGTCAGTGGGCATGATGAAGCGTTAAAACAACCAGCGTGTTGTTTGTCTATCAAACTGACTTCTTATTTTTTAATCGCGGAACGTCAATTATTAAGACTATATATTTGGGGTTGCGGTGCGTATGTCAAACTACTGCGTGTGTGTTCTTTTTTTTTAAGAGAACACAGCATTTTCGTTATAACAAATAGTTTCTGTGTCCATTATATAACTGCAAAGTAAAGTGCCCTAGTTTCGCCTTCGCTACAGGAGGCGCGGCTCTACGGCCTACACGTCAGATTCTGAGTGGGCAGTAGGAGCTCTACACTTTGGAGGCACGTCACAGCGATCACGAGCGAACAACAGGACTAAATTCTTGCCCCACGATTTAATACAGTAGTCTGAAATAATCACGACTTCAGTAATGAGCATAGAGAGTTTTCCCGTCTACTGCTCAAAATAGGGAGTTGAAGGGAATCTTCTTTACAACAATCTTGTGCGGGTTGTCCGGAACGCACGATGGTGGAAAGGTGCGGGTTGAGGCTGACGTCACGCTGATACAAACGCGCCTAATCTTGTGCACAATAAATAAAGAACCCATATACAGACACGTCTCCTGCCACAACCCTCCGCCAAGCCTCACAGAGTGCACATTTAAGCACAGCAATCAACACCAGCCCACGCCTTAACGTGGTCAAATGTCAAGTCTCTTATGTAAAAAGGCATGTCCCCGCCACCGCCCTGACATCATATTCTTTATTCTCAAAGTTTGATTCAGCAAAGCAGGTCCTCTGCCCTTTTGTTTTTACTCGCATAATGGTGTCAAAGAAGTTCGTTAATGGAACAGCTAGTCTTGGTGGTGGCGACCTGAGGCAGAACCAGTTTCTGAATCAATGTCCAAAACTTCACACTTGGGCAGAAACAAACATCTTAATGCAGTAATACAAGGGGAGGTACCCGACCAAAACATGCGCGCACTGGACACAAACAAAGTACACACTAACAGCATGGGAATTCCGTTTGTTAAAGCTATGTAGATGTATGTACAGTCCTCGTAATGCACATGTGGCAGAGAACAGTCCTTTCTGAACAACAGTTTCACGCTCTGTATCGAATCACTCCTAGTTTTGAGTCTTTATTCAAGTAATCGTATGTGCCACTTACCACGTGCTTCTGTTGCAGAGCTTGAATTGCAAAAACTTGGCCGCCTCCAGGAGCGTTTCGATGCTCATCCCGAACTATTAATTTAATAACGGCGAAGAAAAGACAAGCACAAACGCGAACTGCGCCTAGTGATTACGGGAGGAGTTCCCAGTATGAAATTGGCTAGATGTAATAGGACACCCCCCACCAGAGCAAAAACTCCACCACATTACGTAGCACTAAAGCAAGATGGCGCTTAATGTAGTACTAGCACAGGAGACGCGGAACAGATAGGGATTTAGTGTTCATAGCAGCGTGCTGAGAGCTCCACCCTCTCAGAGGGGGGGGGGGGGGAACACGAAAACCATGCGCTATAGGGGACGATGTGAAACAGAACTGGAGCAAGAATAATTGGCAATTTGACAAATAAGTCATTCTTTTGTTGTTGATTTTTTGTTTTTTTTTATTGCTCATTGAATGGGAGGTCACAAACGAGAAAATCGCGACAAATTCAGCTGAGTCTATATCCTAACCCTGGCCCTCAAACATGCGCTCAATTTTACTTGCATATTCGCCAGTCGCCACATGCTCATTAAACAATTTTATTTTGATCACATATAAAAGGAAAAACAGATTACTGCTATCCCCACTAAAAAAATAAAAATCTATATAAAATATATATATATATATAATAAATAAGATGATATATAATTATATATAATAATACTTTTTGATATAAAAAAATAATAAATTATAATATATACGAATAATATTATTATATATTAAAGATAAAAATAATAATATATAATACATAAAATATATATATATATAAATAATAATATATCTATATAAATAAATAAAAATTTTAAAGTTAAAATAAATAGTATAGAATTAGATTTGATATAATTCATCCATGCCAGAACGGACCCTCTTGGACACATGTTACGAAATACAACTATGGATCATAAATGCCACGTTTATTTGCCTTCACGAGTTATGCTCTGTCGAATTTAATCATAAAAGACGTGTGGATAAGTTGTAAATAAACAAAATTCAAGAGGTTGAGAGACATATCCACAAGTACATTAATAATATTCCCTATTTAGAAAGAACTCATAATGTTAACTTCAAAAAGTAAAAGACTGAGGTATTAAAGTCTTATGTCCCAGTTAAGTCCAGTGCTTTCCCTCCGTGATCTAGTCATCATGTAAGAAGGCGGAAACCAAAAATAAAGTGTTTATAGTGTGAGACTAATAGATGTTTCTGCGTCCTGAAAAGACGTGAACCACAACCAAGATTCCACGAACACGTCTGTTGTGAGCAGTATAACCCACGCGGCAGTATAGTGTAATACAGATTATAAAAAGTACATAATAAGTGAACTGTCAGACATATTACAATTTAGTGAGTTCCCAGCATTGACCTACAATGGTGTTTGAATCAGGAAGAAAATAAAAGTGAGGCCCTCTTGGCTTTACAGTGTGATACAGTCCAGTTAAAATGATGAAGTCCTTTGAGTTTCAAGTTTATTACCTGCAAAATATGCTAGAAAAAACATTAAAAGTCAACTTGAAAAAAAGAATGAAACTAAATGTTTGAAAGCTGGTCACACTGCGATAGACCTCTGCAGTGTGTTTCTTGAGGAACGTGCCAGAGTGGTTCATTAGGTTTTGTTCTGCGAACCCTCGACCCAGTGCATCTCCACCATACATCTGTTTTTCGCTCAAACATCACATACATGCAAACATCTTGAATAAAAACAGTCCGGCTGCACCAGGGCGCTGGGTTTCTGTAAAAGAATCGTTTTCTGTGCTATCTTCCAAACTTGGGCGGTCAATCCCGGCCTAGGTTCTTTCTCTTGGCACGGTGGGCTGGGTTGACACTCGACACTTGCTCATTATTGCGTGGTCACTTTGTAGAGGGATGTGGTGGCAGATAGATGCAGGCAGCGTTTTTTGAGACTTTGAGGTGCTCGTGGAATCTTCTCAACTGCGTGCTCTGTTCACGGTCGTCTTTGACGTCCATGGATCCATGTGTTCTCCACAGCTGTCAATAACAGGCGTCTTTTCTTGCTCTTCGACAGGGAACTTGTTTAAGAGAACCTGGGAAAACAATATGATAATTAGATATAGTGATACAGTGGGGCTAAAAATTATTTAGTCACCAACGATTGTGCAAGTTCTCCCACTTAAAATAATGACAAGTTCGGTAATTTTTCTTCATAGGTGCACTTCAACGGAGACATATTGTGGAAACAAAAAAATCCAGGAATATCACACTGTAGGATTTTTTAAAGAATTTATTTGTAAATTATGGTGGAAGAATAAGTATTGGTCACGTCAAAACAAGGAAGATTCTGCTCTCACAGACCTGTAAATCGTCTTCTTAAGAAGCTCTTCTGTCCCCTCTCGTTACCTGTATGTAATGGCACCTTTATGAACTCGTTATTCTGTAATAAAAGACACCTGGCCATGCCTCAAACCGTCAGACTCCAAGATCCTCCACTAGGCCAAGACCAAAGAGCTGACGAAGGACAACCAGGAAAAGATTGTAGACCGTGCACCAGACGGGGAAGAATTGACTCTACATTAGGCAAGCAGCGTGGTTTGAACTAAAATCTACTGTGGGAGCAATTATCAGAAAATGGAAGACATACAAGACCATCTGATAATCTCCCTCGATCTGGGGCTTTCACGCAAGGATCTCATCCCGTGGGGTCAGAAATGAGCAAGAGAACGGTGATCAAAAAATCCCAGAACCACCAACGGGGGGACCTGTGAATGACCTGCAGAGAGCTGGGACCAAAGTAACAAAGGTTACCATCTGTATCACACTACGATGAGAAAAAGGGACAAGGGAATCAAATCCTGCAGTGCCAGACGTGCCCCCTCTGAAGCCAGTGCATGTCCAGGTCCGTAACAGAAGTTTGCCAGAGAGCACATGGATGATACAGCAGAGATGGGAGAATGTTCATGTGGTCAGATGAAACACAGGTAGAACTGATTGGGTAGATAAACTCAACGCGTTGTTTTTGGAGGAAGAAAGATACTGAGTGGCTTCCCAAGAACACCAAAACCTACGGTGAGCATGGGGGTGGAAACGTCATGCATTGGGGCCGTTTTTTCGCTAAGTGGGAGCATGACAACTGAATCCCGTGAATGAATGGGGCCATGTATCGTGAGATTGTTGAGCCAAAACCTCCTCCAATCAGTCGAGAGCTTTGAAGAATGAAACGTGGCTGGGTCTTCCAGCATGTCAAGATCCCAAACACACCGCCCGGCAACGAAGGAGTGGCTCCGGAAGAAGCATTTGAAAGTCCCTGGAGTGGCCTAGCCAGTCTCCAGACCTCAACCCCAGTGAAAAATCTGTGGAGGGGTTGAAAGTCTGTGTTGACCTGTCATTAATTTTAAGTGGGGAAAAACTTGCACAATCGTGTGGCATGACTAAATATCTTTTTTGCCCCACTGAATTTTTACAAGTCTCGTTCACAGTATGCAAGTGTTTGGAGAGTAAACGGAATACATGGAACGCTGTTTACATGTATAATTGTGTGTAGGGTGTGGTGAGGTGTGTTCAGGTGTGTGTAGGTGTGTTCAGGTGTGGTAAAAGGTAAGAAGTTGTGTAGTGTGTGTCTTTTGAGTGCACGTTCTTGCTTTGGCGTTTTTCTTCACAATTGTTTGTCACAGTCGTCATAAATCTTTAGATTTTCTTAACATTACCTGAATGTGGTCATTGACTAGATAAATGGTGGAAAGGTTTATACAGGGCGTATATACGACTTTTGGAGAAGTCACTTGTGGTTCTCAACCGGAGGGACAGGACCGCCCCATATGTGAATCCAAAAGGTTAGAGAACAATATCCTTGACGCAGTGAACATGATGAAACAGTTGAGCTGATGCTATGACTTACTCGTAGCTCAGTGAGATGACTTTTCCAGAAGAAGCAGTGACAGCCTCCACAGGACAAACTACTCAGTGCAGCCGAGCGCTGAGGCTTTTGTCTGGAGCGATTTGAGCCCCACCTGGAAGCGTGAACGCACAGCGGTTTCCGGGCCTTCTCCATTTGCGTTCTTAGTGGGATGAGACTAAAGGTAGAACACTTTAGGTTGTATGCAAAATGCTTTACAGCTACATAACAGTAAACAAAACATGGTAAGTATTTTAACCACGGAAACCCCGGTTTCCAGAGGACGTTCTGAGGTACTACAGCAATAGGACGAACAACGTTGCACATCTGTCATGTTTAAGACCCAAAGATAATTTTGTGTTTCACAGAAAAGGGGGGCTTGCACAACTATTTCACAGGAAATTAGCTTTTATCATTGAACGAAATGTTTGACCACGACAATCATTCCATTCTAACCAGTAAGGGGGAGTGGATAGAGACTAATCTAAGCTTTGAGCAGAACTTCAGAAATCAACACAGATGCTTAGGTGCTACAAACCATGATTACATTTTGTAATGTAAGCATGGTTTTTGTAACTGACCTTTGGACTGCTACAACAACATACTGCCGTTTACACGTCCATTGACCTCATGTTCCGATATCGACTAAACAGAGAAAACAACTGCTTATGTGTTTTTAACTTCAGTCTGTAGTTTGACATTTTTACATATTTTGGTTATCTCAAAATAATATTGGGTGTGATTGTGAGAAATGGTTAATAAAGTTAATCTGATTCTGAATCTATATGGTTTATTTAATAACTCCAGATTCCTGCTCATGAGCCTTAACACTTCTCCGCCAAAATGCAATTGGAGACAACAGCACAGAGAGTTTTGTGCTTATTATATAGTGATTCTTGCAAAGCAAAATACAAACACTGGTGAGTTACAATACTGCGATTTTTGAGGACCCTCCTGAAAACGGTGATCAGTCTCAAGAGGCTATACCTCGAAAAGAAGATATGTCATGGATACGACCCAGGTGGGAGGTTATTGCATGCTGTTAAGAAGAAAATCCCATGTAATATGATGTAGAGCAAATTTTAAATAAAACAGTGACACACATTGGTTCCACACTATCTGCACTAAACATGCTGAAACCACCCAGGTTGAGTCAGGAACTAATATATAGAAGACATATTCATATTAAAACCATGTTTTGAAAGACATCAATATCTCCTGTTGCATATGACTGGACTTTGATCTTGTAATATAGGTCACAGCTTCTGTGTGCATGTGCACATATGCCTTCATTGGAACAAAACATTCAAGACCAGGATCATAACAACGACGTCCAACACACACACACACATCAATGACAAGACGATGGTTTTGGCCCATTTAGCATAAACAGTGAAACCATTGCTGTGTAAGCAGTTGCACACACAAGACCCACAAATCCAGGGTTTGACTGATAAGTGATAGCTGAGCATTGTCCGTCCTCTGTGCTGGCGGAGGAGGGGTTGACGGGTTGGAGTCAAAGATAGGGCCCATATATGTTCTGCACATCTGCTTTTTCTAGGTCCGACAAGACCAAAAGGGAAAAGGTCAATCTAGAATAGAAACAATATTTTAAAAAGAGATTGTGGAAATATTCTGATAATAAAGGTGATACCGCAATGGTTCGGCCACTTAAGTCGTTCACACAAAATGGACACAATAGTCCAATATATATTTACGCATGTAACATACAATATTCAGCCAATCAGAAAGCTAAATTAAGACCACACGAGCCTCTCAGAGTTGCCAGTCCTTTGGTGCCACTGGCGCTGCCCACATCAACAAACGCAAACAAAATATACAATAACACATATAGAGAGAACAATGCCCTTTTGTACCAAAGCAGCATATTGCTAAGACAGGAACGAATTCAAGTGTTTGAAATTGTGTTTTAGAGTGAACACTTTACTTGATCACCATAAAAACAAGACGAGACTTACCGAACCAGCACATCGTCATAAAAGCACCAGCCAATGCCCATCGCATTGTCCGCCCTGGCAGAACTCGTATAGGTCACTTTGGGCACCTGCTGGAGTACACAAAAGTGATCACGAAGTTTACTTTCTTAGGAACATGCACAATATTACTGGGCGCCAGTGACCACAGAGGCCACAGAGCCACAGAACCCAGCAGTGCTGGAAGCGAGGTCTGCACAAATAAATGACATTTGTGAACGTTGTTAATAAAATATATCATGAGAAAGGGCTGGGCGATATGGCAAAAAAAAGATAGAAGAATCCGATTTTCAATTTAAATTATTGTTTTTTCCTATTTAAAAGACAAACTAAATGACAAAAAATTGATTTTCCTTTTATGCAGATGAATCTAAATTTCCCATGGAACATAAGTTGTAACAGATAGAGGCCTTCATACATGCTTGTAAAAGGATGGCCCTGCCAATGGTAAACAGCAAAAATGTAGCTTTTCAGTTTTCTAATAACGTCACTTTGCAGAAGACATAAATGCCACCTGCTGGCAAACGTGGGCCCTATCACATATATCCATCGTATTAAACACATGATTATTTACAATTAAATACACATTTTTTAAAACGTAATGATTACTCAAAATCCAATTGTTATAACAGAAAATCTTTTACAAAAGCCTCCCTTGGGTTTTCATGCTTGTTCTTTCAACCATGTCAGACGCAACTGGGCTGTAGTAAACGCTCGGTCCAGCTTGTGGCGCTAAAGTTACTAACTTAGTGACGACTGCGATTGAGTGCGGTTAAGTTTCCGTTTCTCTTCCCTGTTTTTACATTCTGCTACTGTGTAGCGCTAAAAGCCTATGTATACTTGCCCCGTCGTGGCTTACGTTAGCGGTTTGCGTGGAACCAACGCTAAGCGCGGTCCCCTTTCGGAGTTTTGAGGAGAATGTTGTAATCCCACATACTAACCACAATGGAGGGCGATGCACCCAGATGCGTCCCTTTTACGCTGCTACTTGGTCCTCTTCAGAACAACAATAGCAAATGAGCTCGAATACATGTGTTTCTACTGCAGGTTTATGTTATAGTTTTATGGTTTCCCATTATTTTAGAAGTCATATCAAACTGTGATGCTGTAAATAAAGACACAGTTCTTGGGAAACATAGTTATATTAAATAGTTTTCAGCACAAACGCAAGAACAATAATAGTAGGTAAATAATCTGAGACGAAACATGGCACGAATTACGAGTGCGAGGATGAGAAAGCAACGCAAACGCAGACAGGAAACAGTGCAAAACAAAACGACTGCACAGTTTAGAAGTTATACAAAGTTAGATTGTCCACATCTCCTGTATAATCAGGCCTCTGAGCCCAAACTGCTTTTTCCCGTTCGAAGCAAAAAGCCCTGCGTTCATAGTCCATAGTCCCCTGCTGCAGCCGCTCCGGCTTCCTCAATACACACACACGGACCATCACAGCGAGATTCTGCGCGACCCTTACTATTGAGGAAAATTTCGATGCTGCGCGCGGCATGAAACGTAAGGGCCTTAGCGGTGACCAACGCGTTGCGCATAGTGCACGTCACCGTCACCTCTGTAAAGTGTCCGCGCCGAGCGCGAGTATAAACAAGGCTTAACAAATTGATCCGGAACACGTTGTTTTGTTATCAGAGCAATGAGAGCAATGTGTGAGACGTGTCTCACACAGAAGCCCATCTTATCTTATCTTATCCAAACCAGCAGCAGCAAAGTGGGAACGTGTGTGTGCGCCAGTGGGGCGTGTCACGGCTCAAAAGTGGGCCAAATGACGTGCGCGACTGACATGCTTGTGCTATACCACCTACAGCCATGGGGGTGACCAATAAGAATTAGTCAATGCAAAATATAGCATCGTCTTACCTCTCGCATAACAGCCTTTATAGATAGTCCAAAAGTGCATGTGTGGTCATGCTAGAGGGGAGAGATTTTTTTTGGGACCCGCTATTTACTGCGTTTAAAATGAATGGGGCTTCGTGCCGCTGACACATGCGCAGATAGGTTTTTTTCCTCATTTTTTCCAGCCACCGGCGGCCATTTTTGAATCACTCCATGAAAAGTCCAACCCCTTTGGAGTAACGAGCGTGAGCGCTGATGACCATGAATTATGAGAATGAAAGAATGAAAAGTGTGGCATTGGAACCAGAGCGCCCGGAGCCAGGCAGATATACGAGTCTGTTGATGTGTTCTGGCGATTCCATAAAGACAGATTTCTTAAACGTTCTAAAGTGTTAGGTGCGAAAGCGACCAACGGTGACATGGTCAGGACATAGGGATACTGTTAGTCATTAGGGGAGCGTTTCAAAATGACTTAGACACCCGCGATAGCGTAGTAGCACTGTAGCTCGCGATAAAGAAAAAAAAAAAACACTGGTTTCCATTAAAAAAAGCAATCGCCTTAATCATCCAAATACGACTTAATAATTAAAATCAATTTATCGCCCAGCTCTACAGGAGGACTAATTATATTTTTATGGCTGACAACAAAACATTGGAAATAATTTTATTAGTCTATAACTTCTACTAACCCCGTTGTTTGTTCTTCAGCCCTCTTTCAATGGCGCCCGAGGCGCATTTCTTCCCCAACAATGCACTAATACCAACTTAACATAGACACAGTTTTAAAAAGCATGGTAAAGATGTCCAACACAAAGCAAATGTCCTAGATGAGAAATAATTAAGTAAGTACAAAGCAAAATGAATGAAAAGAATTACTAACGAAAGGACCCACATTTGTCCCACAGTGGTGAACGATCAGGACTGCATCTGCAGAAACATGTCTAGCCCACACAAAAACAATTGCCTCTTATCGCAACCAGTAAACCACTGGAGACCTTTTAAACACCACAAAATATATACTTTTTTAATGTTACAGTTGAGCTTTATAATGTGTTCACTGCTTGATGCACAGGGCCTGTGGCCAAGTTCAGGATTATTGAAAAATGGATTAATCTTACGTCTCTAGTCTGCGTCTGTCCAAGTATAGGACAGTCCTGAGAACATGACACCTAAACATGTTAATAACCAGGGTCAACACTTATAGAATGTGTATCCCCACATAATACAGAGCAGCAACAGGGACAGAGAAAGCCCTCAACAGACTTCAAAAAGGTACACTGTAGTTTTTTGATACATCTAGCGTTGAGATCATAT